TAATCACACACATTTCCTGCATCGAGTCGCCAAGCTTGAGCTGGAAGAATGGATACAGTGGTCTTGTGCTGGTTCTGAATAGAATTTGGGCCAGCTAGACACCTGAATGGTGGTTAGCCCTGCAGGTTACTGCGGTCTCGATAGCGCCGAAATATTGGGGTTCACTCAGCATGTCCGAGCTGATTGAACCGGTGTCTGCTAGCCGGGGGTCTGGGAAGCATAGACAAAGCAGCAGAGCACAGATTCGAGTCACACTCTTCAGCAGTCCTGCTATCAGCAGAGACAGCTGCACAAACTACTGGGCTCAGTGAAGAGCTGCGTCACAATCCGTATTGGAGGTGGGAGTAACACACCAACAACCAGCTTCAGTAAAAGGCGAAGCTAAGTAAGGCTCCAAACGTTGTTCCAGTAAGCCAGAGCTGCTGGGAGCCGAGTAATAACTGGATAAGAGCAGCGAATCTGGACAGCGCCGTGCTGGCCAATAAGCCTTATGCAGCACAGGCGTGGGAACAGAAAGCGTCAGCAACTAGCTAACGACGTATCGCTCTCATGGTCGGAAACGGCGTAGGAGAAGAGAGTGGGAGTCCAGGTCTCGGTCCCGCCAGGGAGCGTGGAGGCCTGCTTCCACAATTAAGTAAATAAACAGTACCTGTCCGGTGGAGAAGATGACCGGCTCTGCTGGACATGACACTTTTCAGTAGGTTGCTCTTGTCATGTAAATCATGGGGAGCACAAACTGACCGGATTGTCAGACATGTGCTTGAAGAATAGGTTAGTTTAAGCTCATTCAAACGATTTAGTTGTTTGAAGATGAAAAGGAAACGAGCTATGCTCGCGGTGCCCTTTTTAGGGGCCAGGACCCGCTTAGGAGGCGGGCGTACATAAAAGCTCTTCAATGATTGGTTAAGGGGATGGGATTAATCCAATAGGCGATGGCTTAAATTGCGGAGAGGTACGAAATAGAACTGATTGTCATTGTGAAGTTCCTTGGAGGGCTGTAGAACCCTAGAAGGCACAATACAAACAAAGGCCATTTACTATTAAAAAAATGAAATATTTCTTGGTAAAAGTCGTTACAACTACTACCTTGAGCAGATCTTGTTACCCGAGCTCATTGTGTGCTGACGTATCTTCCGCTATTTGTCCAAACCAACCAAATTCTTCAGTGTCAGCGTGCAAAGATAGCGTCCATAATTAGTTTGGACCAACCAATTGCATCAGTCTTTGTTAATACTGGTCTCCTGATTGACAACAATAAAAACGTCTTGCCCAAGGACACACCTGGCAACCCTCTGATTTGTGTACAACCCACTCTACCTCCTGAGTCACGGCCGTAAACGTATTGCATACGCAGCTGACAAAAGACAACAAAATAACGGTCATTATATCACAACTGGATCAAAACAGTGTATGTGCTTGTGCCACTCCAGTTTCCTGATGAGATGACCTCCTGCTCTGTGTCCCCCAAACAGCTTGACAGTTACTCCTATTACCTGCCAGGCACATCAGTCAGCCCGCACGCACCTCCAAATATATCCACCTTTCAGACCTAATATCTGCTTTTACGTGACATGATTTTCAAAAGCACGACCGGCAGATTGGTCCGAACTCCGAAGGAACAGCGAGAGCTTTTGATGTGATAATGATTGTTTTTGTTGCATTTCATTAAAGAAATTGGGTCTTTTTTTTGGTTTGTTGGATTCAGAGAAAAATTTGGAGCCAGCTCATAGCAACCCCCGCTGATATTGTACTAGAAAGCATTTCAACACTTGCTATAATTTCAAGGCATTGCTTTTGAAATTAATCCAAATGTGACAAGATGTGCCCAATTACAGTTTCCATTTTTGGTTGGGTTTTTGCAAACTGTCAGTTCCACGCTTTCTAACAGGTTTGAGCGCATGGTATGACCCACAACTGGGCCATTAGATAGGCCCAAAATCTCATCTAAATTAATCTCCCATCTACATCCAGCTAAGATGCTGTCCTGTTACTAGCTCAGCTGTCTGGTGTGATCCGACGTTGTGATAAGATGAACAACAAAACGCTTTAAAAAATACTTTCAGTGTGAGTGACTGCACTGAATTAAGATCAATATCTTTATAACGCCCCCTGTTGCCTTACTAGGATGTTTTGAGGAGTAAAAAGGAGAACTGAAAGGTTTTCTCAATTACAGATTTTCCACGTGTCCCTATGAATCCGACGTTTTAGAGGGTGGACCAGTCGTGCCTTTTCTGTCTCACTTATCCAACTCTGCACTCTCAAAAGAGATTCTCTCCCTTTAGCAACAAGCCTGAAGAAGGAGAGCCATTCTCTCCATTGTGGCGTGTCTTAAGTCTTGTGTGTGTGATTCATGTGGTGTTAAGTGTAACTGGTCACAGCACTTCAGCCCAGGAGAGGGATTGACGGCTTATTAATTCAAATGACAGCCGTGCGGTGGGAGAGAGGAAAGGAGGTCGATAAGGCTGAAGATGCACATTTCACAGAAAAAATGAAAGGGGGGGGGGGGGGTGTAAATTGATAAAA